AATTCACGTCTTCACGAAAATCGTCTTTCACAAGATCGTGAACCTCATAAAGTTTTAAAAACCTTGATAATACAGCAACGTAGATGATGTCAGTATATCAACGAATGGAACTTGGATCAATTATGAACCTTTCAACCGTCGATGTAATATTCAGACCAAACACTTTGTAATGGCAACCCTAACGCACCCCTGACGTCGCAAATCTCGGGGGCGAGCACGTCAATCAAAATATCCCTTAATGGGGGCCCTGTTCCGGCGAGGATATTAGATAAATACCGACTCACCCTCCCCCCGCCACTGAGGAAACATACAAAAATCCGCTTATTCCTGCTATATTATACGATATTCATATACAACTTCAACCACACGTCCCAGATATACTACATGTGTCTATATTATGGGTTGTGTATACTATTTTTTTCATCAGTCCAATATTATTATTTCATAAAAAGATAATTAAAATATAAAGGGTTATATCGGCAACAGCAACACATCATCTGTGAATATTTTAACTATGTGGCTCTATCTCATGATCACGGTTCATGAGGTACAGCCTGGTGATAGATGGAGGGATGGACAGATAGACGGACGGACAGCAAAGTCTAAGTAATAAGGTCCCGTTTACTATTCGGGTACGGATCCCTAAAAAGTAACAGAGATACTGCTCCTATAACTAAACAAGATCGGTCATCAGTCTATCCTTGTCAGTCAGTTCAAAATATAGAATACAATATAACTGCTGATGATTTTTTTTCCATTGTTAAAAATACTTAATTATAAAAACATAACGATTACAATTTTTTTTTAAAACTAGCTTTCTGCCTGAGGCTTCGCTCGCGTGATTCTGTATTATACGTAGATATAAATCTTCCTCTCGAATCGCCCTTTAATTAATGAACAGCATTAAATTCTGTTGTAAAGTTTAAAAAATCTCAGCGTACATAGAGCGGGAAGAAACTGTGTTTTATACTATGTATGGAAGTTAAAACAAACGTCTCCTTATTCAGACCTATTTTGTTCTGTAGTGTGAAGAATATCGCTTTTGAATAGTTCATCTTATTCATTAATATATTATCTTATACCTATGATCCATTCAGGAATTCGTTTAAATATAGAGATCTAGCTTTGCTTTTGGTAGGTGACTTCATCCGCGTGGTACTTTGGGCGGCATATCTAAAAACGCTAAAAATATTATTCATACCTTAATATAAAGTTCCATGATCTTATCTATGACAATGACGAATTAGAATACAAAATTTAAGTCCCTGTTGCAACCTATCTCAAATCTCTATTATTTTTAGTGCGTTAGACGTGATAGGTTACTAGACATGTACACAGTTAAACGATTCCTTTCGTGACTCATTATAGCATATAATAAGAGATTACCAGACAGTTACCAAAATAAATAGACTAAGAACATTATAAATCACGCTAGTTTCGTCGACTTATGAGCTCACAGCGGTTTTTTTTAGTTTAAATTGAGAATATTTTGTGTGACAACATTGAGGTTAATATATTATGAATCTGGGCAAAACATCCGTCCAATTAGGCGGCTAGCCCTATAATAGAATATTACCATTTATTTCCACGGCTGAATGTCGAACAGCTGAGTAAGCATCACAACGTCCTTCTACACTGCGGTTGCGCAATGACTAGGTAAATGGTTAACTGTCAAGGATCACGATACGATACGCTATTAATTTTATTAATAGCAAAATATCCGCGATATTAGAATAAAATTACTTTGATGTTAAATTCGAAGACATTACAACAAAAAGCTATATTAATTTATTTAAGGTTATGCTGCAGCTACACACGTTATTGACCGTCTTATGTTCAATATGTTTCAAATCTAAGGTTTTAGTATTTTATCTCTGAAAACCTTAAAGCTATTTATCCAATTTGATATAGATCGAAAGGAAAACACAAATGTAAAGTTTATCTTTACAAAACTTAATCGAATATTGAAATATACGCAAAATTATATGCACAAGACGATAACACAGTTTAGTTTAACAATAAAACGACATCTAGTGTAGCAAAACTCAAAGTTTTTTCTTACTAACTTACTAATATTTTACAATTCAACTTAAACACTTAGGTCTAAATCATGCAAGTAGATAATTTGAACAATAAATATATATCAATTATATCACGAATTCAATAAATTACATTATTACAAAATCAATTATAAAAAAAAAATATAATAACTCAACAATAACCAAAACAGTGCGATGTAGAAATATACTTAACGCCATCTTGTATAGCATAAAACATATAGATTGTATTTTCTTTCGTATACCAACTTATTTCAACTTGAATATTTTATAAATATTTATTTAAATTGTTATTTTTGTTATCAATTATGTACGCGAATACCAATATTTATCACAATAAGGAAATATTTATAAATAATAGTAGATAGATCATTGATATATATGTATTTATTAAAATGAAAAATCAAATTGTAAACAATGATTGCTATATTAATATGTTGATTCCCCATAAAAATTTCACTCCCATTTTCATTCCTTTCCATGCCAGTTTTCGGGATAAAATATACTTTCTTATAGTTTTCCTTCCTTCCTTTACAATCTTATAGTCTAAAACTACCCAAATGCCAATTCATCGATATAGGCCCAAAAACAAAGAAGTTTCAGACAAAAGTTTTCACCATTTTTGACCCCTTCCGGGTGGAATTTCCAAAAATCCGTTCTTGGTACACCTCTACGTAATAAGACAAATCATCATCATTATCATCAAAGCCTTTTACATTACCCGTCCTCGGATATAGGCCTCCTCTAAAATTCTCCACCTCTGTCTATCTCTTACCATCTTCATCCAATTTGAACTGGCGGCAGTGCGTGCAATACGGTGTACCCATCTCATCGAGGGACGGCCTCTGCCCTTAGAGCTTTTCCGAGGTCTCCTTTTCAGTCAGCGCTCTCCTGGCGCACCTTTCCTGATTGATTACGGCTAAGTGGCCTGGCCATCTCCACTTTTCTCTTTTATAGTAATAACAGCATCTCTAATACGAGTCTTGCTTCGGATCCACTTGTTTTCTTTCCGGTCCGACAGTTTTATTCCAAGCATAACACTTTCCATGGCTCGTTGCGTGACTTGTAGTTCTTGGCAGACTTTTCTGTTTGATTTGCTGTTTCCATTCCACAAGTTTAAACTGGCAGCACACATTAGTCGAAGTCTAATTTTGAGATATTGTGGGAATTTCTTTGAGCAAATATTGGATTTATTTGCACCGAAAGCAAACCACAATTGCGCTATTCTTCTCTTCGTTTTGGTTTCTGTAGCCCAACGTTATTTTGGGGCCGAGGTATATATGTATATGTATTTATCGACAACTTTTACTGGCATATGCGAGTTAAGTTGTCGATAAATATATATGCGATTATTATTTATACAAAGCTATTTAATATTTCCGCTTTATATTAATCCATACGATAATTTCTCTTTGAGTTTCCGTGATTTAAACAGTCCGTATCTAAAGTACAGGCAGGCGGCTGGCACCCTACACTACATTACAAAATGATACAGACAACGACCGTCATCCCCCCTCACCCGTAATACGAAGTGACAATAATTTCCTTCAAAGAACTCCCCCGGGGAACTCTCGCAAACAATTCTAGCCTTTGTATCCTGTTCGTAAGAATTAAATGTAGTTGCAGCGGCTCTCACGATGCAAAACTCTGATAAGTGTCATCGATCACTCTCTAAGAGACGATCAGAATTCACGAGTTTATCTACAGCTTTTTATGTGCCTACCTAGTTAGGGCGACGATAAACGGTGACGATCTTGGCCAGTGATGAGTTTGAACGTGTGTCTCATATCTCCCGTGACTGTAAAATATTTATCTTTATGCATCATCGCAAATGGCTAATAACTTTAGCTTTTAAAAAAATAACTTTTAAAAAAACTTCAACATAGAACTCGATATAATAACAATCATACATTAATGAGGTCACCCAACTGATAAGCAGCTTTTGCGAAAATTACTTAATTTTAACTCTCTCAGACCAACCAAGCAAATAACTACGCCAATGAATTTTATTATTCTTATAATAAATCACTGATGTAAAATCGATTTCATCAAATTTATTAAAATTTAAGAAAATTTAAAACAAAAACACACAATACATCGTTACGTAAAAGTTTTCACTCATTCCATTGGATATTTTTCGCAAACAAATACACTGAAGCCATTGAAAAAAGCTTTCAATTTCCCTGTACCTATTTCGATTTTCGTTTTTCGATTTACAAATTTTCGGATCAATTTGTTATTTTATAAACTCTCAGATTATATCATTTATGAATCAATATATATTAAATGGTAGGTCATAATATTATTAATTCGTTGCTAAGTGATTTTTATGAGGTTTTTGTAACTTAAAAATTTCAAAATATTCTCAGGAAGCAAGACGGCATTGATTGGAAAATCATCATGCAATTATCAAACATAAACACCAGTAAAAGCTCTCTCAAGTAACATTTTATAGAGTTTCCTGCTGAGCCTCCGTTATCTTTTCCTCCTTTATGATGTATAAAAACAAAAAGTATTTATTTCAGCAGTTTATCGGGGGTTGCTCTGACGACACCCTAATAGGAGCTAAATAATGAGACACCAGATCTAAAGGGATGTTACTATTATGTCGCAATATTGCAAAGGATATGCGACGCAACGTAATAATAAAGCACAATGTTAATGAAAAAAGTTTGAAAATACTTATAAAAAAATAATGTATATTGTTAGTTTACATACTTTTTTTTTATTCAAGCGACTGTATATAAAATGATCTATCGGGGAAATTTAGATTTTGCTGGTTACGCACCTGTATAATAACACCGAGACAGTTGATTTTTTAAATAGTTTCTTATACCATTTTGACTTCAAATACTACGTGATGGATCATGATTTCATCCATAGGCAAATCCTCAGCAATAGGCTTATATGTTTGTTTATCATTAAGTTTAAGTAAAAATTATAATGCAAATACATGTATGGTCAATTTGTTATCCAGATGTGGCCACATCCCGTCGTCCGGAGCCGTACTACGGTCGTTTGATAGGTCGGCTAACGCAGTATGCGCACGGCATACGCGGCACCGTGTACGCGGTCGACGAGAGTACGGTGTTCGTGCGAGGGTTCGCGTACGACGGCACCGGACCCGACGCATACTTCTGGGTCGGAGACACACCACAACCATCACCGGAAGGGATCTTAGTGCCCTATCCTGAAGACTATACCACTAGGTAAGAATTGTTTATTATGTCTTTCAGGATTTCACGTCTTGGTATTGTTGTATCGGTCTCGTGCAATTTTATATAGTGTACGTGACTGTTAGGTTAACTAAATAAATGTAGTTACTCCCTGCAGATCCGATGCACTGTACCCCCAGCTTGCGCTGCGCCAAACAAACACTGCATTTACGCATAGTGTTATGATTTTACCTACAACCATAATTTTAGAGGTTGAAGCGGAATACTATTATATAAATCTTATATTAGATGAAATTGTTTCATCAGCATAGAATTATTTATTAATACTTACGACTTATATTTTACGGATATGAAAAATAAAAGTGATAATAATAAGTGATATGAAGTTTACCTTTTACATTTAATTGTTTAACACTTACGCAACACAGTATCGCGTAACTGTGACTTTCGTGTAAAATAAAAATTCATATAAAAAAACCTATACAAAATAACTTTTGTTTCGTAAGTCGATAAAAGAGAGCCTTTTCAATTTGACTTTACCCTTATTCACTTAAGGTCAGAACTCCAAATAAATTATTTAAGAGAAAGCTTATAACGACTGAACACTATACGTGATTTTTTATATTTTCAACTAATAATAACTCAAAAGCGTAACACTAAAAACCTATTTTATAAGGGTTGCTTTTTAATATATCAATATCATAAACAGTTTGTTTCAAAACAAATTCATAAACTTAATTGTTGTTATTATACCTAGAAAATTAATTAAGGCCACTAAACTAATAGTATCGTAGGAGTTCGAAATTAACGTAAATGGCGAAGATATTAAAGGATGACAATACCATTATAGCTGATTAAAATTTATCACATAAATATAAAAATCTCAGGCTGGAGACGGTATAGCTCATACACAAGGCGAGGAAATAGATACAAAGGCGTCTATAACCTAACCTTATAATAACCTAACCAGCCGTCAGTTAACTTGGTGAATACACAACATCACCATTTATGGGTGTTTTAACAATTTCATTCGAAAAAAATTATATTTACAAGAAGCAAATCGGTAGAGACGCCACAAGAATATTTAAAAAAAATCGCTTAATTTTCGCTTTGATAGTGAATGGTGGCCCTTAGACGCTACGATATATGTGCTGTACGTGACAACTCCGCATCCGCCCCTGGAATTGATTATTTAGAAATGAAAATATTTTAAGTAATAAGTTTGGGCCGTAAAGGGAATTTTTAGAAATTATTTTAGAAATAAAAATAGTTATTTTGCTTTGATATTGATATTATTACATATAGGTTTTGGCAAGTTTTTTCTCACTATTATTACTGATGTTTATTTGATATTGGGAACATAATTACGAACAAATTTATTTGCATAGAAGGATAATATTAGCACTCGCATTGATTTGTTGTCGTTATGGTATATCAGACGTAGGTAATTATTAAACGGTATTAATTTATTCATACAAACCTTTTTGTTGAATTTTTGGTAATAATCATTTCTTAATTGCAGAAATACCAAAATGTACGAAGAGAGAAAACTTGGCAACAGCTTACCGCTGTCGGTTTATAGTTATATAATTTTTCTGTCGATAAGCCAAGAGTATGTAAGACAAGAATACAAAAAAAAAACCTACTATTAATTTCTTTGTTGCCGTTATGATTTTGCTTTATACAGACCAACTCAGATTAAGGTTTATATGAATGAAAAGGTTGTGTGCCGAAATTAGACGATTTCAGGCAAACAACAAAGTATGGTGTGTGAAGTTACTTTTATTTATTTAGGACGCGCGCCGGTTTTAAAATGAAAAATATACCTACCTATGTTTTTATGAAATGCGGTTTTGAAATTAATTTGAATAAAAAGTAAATTATATAAATGTTTCAATTTGTTTCAATGTATTGAATTGATAAATTATTCCATTACTAGACGTACCTTATTATTTCATACTAACGTAATTGTGAATAACCCCATCACCCACCAGTGGGAAAGTACCTACTTGACTTGGTGGACAAGTCGGGAGTATCGTTCGGGGATATTATTAATTTTAACTAAAGCAATAGATTATTTTTGCTACCATATTCACTCTTTAGGGGGCTTTTCAAAACTCTGTAGAAATTCACCATTGGCATTTAACATTCAAAAACTAAATTAATAAAATATTTATATTTTATATTTAAAGCTTTAAAGTAACAATATACTATATCGTATGATTAACCTTTTATTTAGCTCCCCGCCTGTTGAGAATGATTATTGTGCATTATATATTTTATTCATATTAGATTTAGGCTTGATTATTCTATGTAATACTACTTATTTATAAATAAAAAGGTCCATGACAGTGTCAAAGCCAGCCACTTATTTTAAAACAGAAGAAAAGTGCCTGGTTCTGTGGGGGACCCACCCCAGCGTAAATAATGTTCATTTAATTGACACCCAATTTGCTTTTGCATTATACGCGTTTACTAATGGACTCTTAAATTACCTAACGACTCGACTTTAACTTATTTAGAGTTTATTATTGTGTAAATTAAGAAGCATAATAGTTAGGCGTTGTTAGATCTGTGGTGGATAATATTGAGAAATTTTCGTAAAAGATGGGTAACCAAAACTTTACTATCTTTCTCTAGCTTCTTGTCGCTACAGGAAGCATGATGAGCCATTATTCTCATCTGTATCTGCATCCTTCATCTGAAAAATATGCGAATTATCATTTTTCTTTCTTTTAATAAAGTTTGTCTCTAACTTATCTATACTATAATATTACAAAGGGGAAAGATTTCATTGTTTTTCGTTTGCAATGGAGCCCATTCGAAACTAGTGGACCAATTTTAAGGCCGAAGCTACATCATATGCTGTGGACATAGGCTATATTTTATCCTGCAAATAAAGTGATGAAAATGGGACTGAAATTTTGTATAGGGAATTAAAACGTTACCATAGTAATCATTGTTTACTATTCAGTTTGTCATTGTATATGAATCGATATACAAATCAATTATTAAATTATTGAAGCTGTCTACACAAGAGTAAATAATCTTACTAATATTTATCCCGTTAAATAATTCCCTAGAGCTTGTATTCGATAAAATGAAATAAAACTGTCTTCAAAAATCTGAAAAACAATTCTCTTCTAAAAATCGTTTCATATATCGATTATGAAACTTCCATTGAAGTCGGATGTGTCTTCAAATAATTTTCATGTAGATAAATATTATTTTTCTTGTATAAAAGGCGAATTCCTTTTTTTTCAAAAATTGTTACTCCTCCTTTTTGACTAGAAGTCTATTAAAAAATCGAAACGGTCTTCAATTACATTAAAAGTATTTAAGATTTACTTTACATATCTATCATTGTACTGGATTAGATTAAGTAACATAATTGTATCTTATCGTTAATATTAATTATTAGTTACGGGTAATATGGAAGAGGGCTCTGACTTCTGTCACTCAGGTTATACCTAGCAGTCTCTGACCTCTGGTCAGAGACTTCACACTGCCTTGATGATGTATGTTTATATGACAATAAAGTTATTATTATTATACATATTATTGAGTTAACGTACAAGTGATCAATAAGCACTTCTTGATTTGACATTATGCATCGTTCCAGGGACCCCCCCATTCTGACTGCACACTCCAACTCGGACATTCTCCTGAGGCTGCCCGGTGGCAAACGGCTGAGAGACATAAAGTGGATCAGCGTGTGGTGCCGACGGTTCACCGTGAGTGTTGCTTCTGTTCGGTAAAGCTTATGCGTGTTGTAAAATAAATAGCAGTTCTACTTTTTTAGCATGTCTAAGGATGTTCAAATGATAATTATGGAGTATTGAAGGATCATTTGCGATTAGGACCACAGAACAAAAACTACATTATGTAAATTGAAACTTTTAAAATTGTTTGCTACCAAAAAACTTATACATCAAATAATTGTAACTTATAATGTAAGCTTTAAATCGGGTAAAAACTTACATTATACGAGTATTTTAAAGTGGGATGAACACCGCAGAATCGTCTTCAATGTATGTGCATATTTAAGTGCAATATTTTTTCATTTTGCTATTAGCCCTAGTCATAAATAGTGTTTTATTATGCGAGTTACGTGTGGCTAACTTAAGACAAATAGTGAATTGTTAAATATCTTAAACAAACAATTTTTATTACTCATTGGACATGTCCGTATACACTGCAATTTTGTATTTTTATACTCTTTCAAATTATGTAGTTCATTATTATTTCAAAAGGATTTTAGATAGAGTTTATTAATTTAACTCTACCTAAATTGCGTTTTAACATTATTTTGAATCTTGGACATATTGTAAGCATTATCTGTTTATCCGGTCCTTTAGATTTCTCGCTTCGTTTCAGAGCGATTTATAACATGACAGCCCTGGCAGAATATCGATTTTATTACTCTGCGCATGCGTATCACTTTCCCGCCAAAAAGTGACGTTTGGCACAACACTCTACTCCGAGATGATTTCGTACTTATGTTTCATTCACCGGCTGGAGAATACTCAAACAAGAAAGATGAAAATTTAAAGAAAATAAGAATACCTAATTACAGGCCAAATAATATAAGCAATGGAGCAGCTTTGACTCTAGATTACATATGAAAGCTTACCTCCAAAACTCAGCACCATAAAACCAGAGTAGTTTTACGGTGTCTAGTTTTGCCTGCTAGCGATTCAAATGCGTTCTGAATTAATATTTTTTAGTTAATATTTATTCAGATGGTGGTACAAAACAGCCTTTCAGCGTCCAGTTCGACATAGGCCTAAAAGCCTTTCAATTCCCTCCACATTTGATGCTTTCACGCCTTTATAAAAAATAAACTTTTGACTGGACGGCTATTATTCTCATGGGATCTCTACTCCTACAACAATCTTGTGCGTTTACCTGTATTGGTCTTTCTGTGCTGAATTTCTCTACCAAATTTACCAATGCATAGCTACAATGAAAACCTTCAGGTCAGTCTTCTTCAGCTCAGAAGAATGTTATGAATGCGCAGAGTATGCTTTCGGTATTGTCCAACTCACAATTTTTCAGTACCCGCATATAATATGTATATACATGCTTTGTGTAGCGCTATCTTAATTAAATAATACCTACTTTAAAAGGTAATCAAGGTTTAAGCAAAGGCTTTAAATACATCAACGCTCTGTGCAGCCACAGCGTTGCACTTGACGTCGTAAAGATAGTTATCTTTAACAGATTAGCGTAGCTGTACACCAATTGTAACTCTTACGAATGTAAAGACAGCAATAATTACAAAGGACCCAATTAACATTTTTTATTAAATTAACTTGTTATACAATATCTGTGTCCTAGTAAAGTTTTTGTTGTTTTTACCAGGTAAACTTTGGTGATGTATTTATACCACAAGGCCTGGACCCGCCCAGGCCCCGTGTGCTACCAGAGTTCAAGCGTCTGGCGCACGGCCTGAGGTCCGGCAACATCAGCGTGCTGGACGCTAAGACCTTCTACATACCGAACCTACATTACGATGGAGCTGGACCTGACGCTTACTTCTGGGTCGGCAACGGGACCGAGCCGAGCTCATTCGGGACTAAGGTTAGTACACGTTCTAACCTATAGATATTTCTAGGCCCCTCGGGGGTAAAACAGCTTTAATGTGGTGACATCATGATAGTGTCTAGAGATTTCAACATTTTTTTCAATAACATTATTTTAATTATTATTTAATATAAAAAATATTTTAATATAAAAAAGAATATTTAATATTTTCATTTCATTTATTGAGCTCTACACGAAGCCGTCGAGGTTAAATATAACATATGACAACATTATAACACAACGATTACAAATTGTTTTATTTTTATAAAACTGGAACATTCTCACACCACCACATCCGACACAAAAAACATCTGTTCTTCGAAAAACTAATACAACTTTACTTGAACCGGAACATTTCATAATGTTTTATTAATTTCCAGGTGCCAAACGAGATGGGTTCGTTGAATCCCCTGCGCGGGTACCAGGGCGAGGACATAGAGATCCAGCTGCCGGGCAAGCTGACCGCGTACGACATCGAGTGGCTGGCGGTGTGGTGCGTGGAGTACCGGCACAACTTCGGCCACGTGCACATCCCGCGCGACCTCGACGTGCCGCCCGCGCTCGGCCAGACCAAGATCACCGTGAGTAACCTCAACTCGCGCCTCCTGCTCACATGCAAGGAGAGCTAATTAGTCAAGCGTGGCGACTCCTTCATTTATATTAAAGTTGGACTATTGAACCAACTAACTAATATCTAACTTACTAGTTTACACAAAGACCCTCGAATGAGGTTTGGTTCGTCCCCATAAAAGATTCCGTCCGGTTGTCGCCCCCATCACATCCCAGTTGACATGCTGTAGTACCTATACCTTTGTAGGTAATATTACTGCGAATACCGAGACGACCTGTTTTGTATAAAAAAAAAATAGAAAGTAGTATAAAATTATTTTAAGACTGACTTTTTTCTGTGATGTTCTTTAAGCTAGCTATTTTCTTTCAGGATTACTACTATAGAACTCAATTAAGACTACCTAATTGAGTTCGATATTTAACCTCATATTTTACTCACTTATTGTATAATAATAAAGTATTATTTATTACCTTTCTATCAGGGCAAGCCGCTTGGATTTCTAATCAAATTACATAACACTCCTTTTCAGCATACTAACCAGGATTACGACTAACCATATTTTTACAAAATAATTTATTTTACTTTTCATTTACACTTTTCAGGGTAAAAGAAAGAAAAAGCCAAAACATCACCGTTCATCAAAAATGTCTGAAAAATTAATAGTTTCACCGCCACGTAAAAGACAACCTTCATGGTTTTCTGATGGGTGGTTCAGTAGTTTCTTTAATTAAGATAGCAAAATATAAGTTTGGCAAAATGTAGAAAACGAACCTTTGATCTGGATGTTTGGGGGACCGCGGTTAATGCGTTAGTTACATCATATTATAATTATTATTTATTGAATAAAAAGAGTTTTCAAATTGTTATATTGAGTGTGTGTTAATGTTTTTATATTGTTAATTTTTATATTTTTCGTTTGTGAATAAAATGTTTTAATCCACTAAAATAGATTTTTTACTTTCTTCTTTCTCTGCTTTCTGTGGGAACTGCAACTTAATAATAATTTATAGCCTCCCTGGTGGTACAATCCAGTGAGTATTAAAGATTTATCTTAACAGCTAAAATAATTGAACTTCCAGTAATATATAGTTGTTATTTTTTCCGTCATGCACTTATTATATTGTGTAAAATGACCCTTGAGCTTCAGCACACTTACCAATAACTCTCATCACTAGCCTACTCAATTCTCTGCCTTATTAATTAAACCTTCTAACTCCAAAATTGTATATTTTTTGATATAACATCTTAAAATGTGTGAAATGACACTACAAATATTTTACCTTCCTGTATTTGACATAAAGTAAATACCAAGTTTAACAAAGCTAGCTATAATTACGTTTTTCTATTCTATTTATTTATGCCTAAACCAGTCGCTATTTTGGCCTTCATATCTTTCGTAGATAGGTACCTAATATTTCACTTGATCTTCGTAAGATATTTTTAACGAATTCCTTCACCCTTGATTGTTACCCATATTCATTTTCGGCTTATATACAATTGTACATGCATACATACATATACACACTTTTCCTGAATAATATCATCAGGTGCTTTTAAGTTTTCAGTCAGTAGAGATAGTATATTAAAAATAGTTAATATATACCCTGCTTTCTGCTATTTATTAAATCGACCAAGCTTTTTCAGCTCAGTTTAACCATTAACACTGATATATTGTTTATTATATAATATCCAATATAATTATAGATATAATTGTATTTAAGTATCCACCACATTATAGGTAAAAGGTTTGTAGAGCATGTATTGTAAAATCAAATCGAAAGTCCGTAGCAACTTTAATAATATAGATGACTAAAGTACGTAGAATACTACAGATATTACCTATCTATATTAATGTTTTAACTAATTTGTGTGAACGTGTTCCAGACGAGTTCTACGACATCCCAGACCCCGTATAGCGCTAATAATAATTGTAAAGAGATATTAGACAAAAGATTGCAGGTGCGGTGGGAGATACAGGTGAATATTTACTTTACTTAACTTTATTCAATGCTTTTTTATATTTTTTTACACTGTTTTGTGATACCATGTTTCTTCACTTCACATATTTAAAATTTTATTTTTAAGCATAAATATTAAATTCTTCTAGAATTACCACATTGTGTTCTTTGCCTTATTGCGATTTATTACCGACAATAATAGAAATTATCAATTTTCTTTTCATTCAAGCCAGTAGTGAGCGAAAGACGAAGGTAAAAATTATTAAAAATAGTTAAACATAAAATTTAATAAAGGATGGACGCAAATATTCTATGTGTTTGTAATTCTCGTGTAACTAAGGTTGATTTAATTAAGATGAAATATTAATGTTTTCATCAATTATATGAATTATTACCAGTGGTTGGAATTAGGTAGAGTTATTCATGTACTTACACTGATTTCATAAAGCGAAAGAATAAAGTGGATATGCCTCAAATCCCGAGATTAATTTGAAAGAGCAGAAAAAATCCCGTGATTTTTTAAATAAAAAGTTATTTACTTTTACACAATTTAAACTACTGCACGCACGACGTTGCCAAACTTACATCAATGACATCGGATGTCCAAAGATGTCCATTAGAAATCCCGGGAAGGTCCACATTAATATCAACATTTCAATGCAAGTACATAAATAACTCTACCTAATTCCGACCTCTGATTTTTACACTACAATTATTTTGTCAAATATTCTAACCATTGGGAGATTGGAAGAAAACCGCATGGAAATTTGATAAATAATTATATTCAGGCGGTATTTATTATGCAATATGAAAGGATATAAAACAAAAACACAAACAATAGCAAAAAAGCAGGTTTTTTCACATTTTCTATTTCTGATTAATCAATGTGATATAAAATTACAAATTTATACTGCAAAAGAATTTCTGAATGCTTTTTAAACCGTCTGCTAAAATGTTCCATCAATTTTAATAATTGAGTTCTATACTTATTTCAAAATCGGTGTATATATGTTGTAACTACAGTTTTTTTTATAAATGCTGTGGAATTTGATACGCAAATTTGCTCCGCATTTCTCCTCTCGAATTATCAATGAATAAAGAGCAATGTTTCAACGTTTGGAAACATGTTAGATCCCTGTACAAGCGAAATCATATCCTACAGAGGCTTGTATGCGGTCGATTCTGTTGCAGGGTGAGCAAGTTCAAATAACGTTATCAGCGCGTCTCCGGAAGGATCAATACATGGCGTTCGGTATATCCGGAGCCGAGGGTCGGCCCGCCATGCTGGGAGCCGACGTCGCGGTGGCGTACTGGGACACTAAGTTAGTTTACAAATTGTTTCATCATACCGATGGCTGTTGACTCCTTTCCTGCTTTCCATATAGGATTACACGGAATAAACAAAAGACGGCGGGTGGGATATACATAAGTCGGTGCATTATTTGTTTTGAACGCTCGAACGAGTGATAAAATAGACATAAAATACATTCATATCACTGCCCATGGTCCTACCGATCAGACGATCTCAGGACTGCAATCGACCCGTAATAAAATGATTTATTTAACACCCGCCCTGTCAATTTTGAAAATGTGTAAGATTTTTTTTATATTTTATAAACTTTATACAATCAATATGTATAGATTGAACCAGCCCGCGGTGTCAGACTACTTCATATCTCACCTAGCGCAGTGCGACGGCCTCAAAGGCGTGTGCCCCGATGCCAGAGTCGGTGGCTCCGACGACATTGTGCTGGGTACGTCGTGTTACTGTACTATACTATACATCTCACCCATGCGTCCACACTGTACTACACAAACCTCACCCACGCGTTCACACTACTACACAAGCCTCATCCAAGCGTCCATACTGTACTACACACAAACATACATTGCTCTATGGGCACATCGCTCGCATTCTCTCACTCAAATATCACCTGCGCGAATCGCATTCTGTGATAATCCAAACCCGAATTCGAATCCGTGCCCGAATTCACTTCAAAAAGGGGCATTCGCTCAACTTTAAATCGGTTTCGTGGTATCAGTGAAGTGAGTTTCGAAATGACATAAGAATAGAATATCTGAGACATGTATATTCAATCAATGTTGTTTTGTATTTTTATACAAAAAATGGAATCAATAGAATTTCTACACTAAATGACGTGAGCGGCTGCTGCTTTTTGAAGTCAATTCGGACACCTAAGTGAATTCGAATTCGAATTTTCACAGAATCGCACGGCAGATCGGAATGACTCAGTCGAATATGATCAATAATCGGTAGATCAGCGCGCGTAATGGCCCCCTTATACAGGCGCGGTGGCCTTATGCGCGCTCATCTCATTGGTCCATAAGAGAATGACCGACAATCAGCAATCGCCAAATCGTGTAAATACGCCGATTGTCACCAAAATAGGTTTCCGTTTCAGAGTGTTATATTTTAAACCTTATTTTTATCCCTATAAGACTGATTATAAAGTTTAAACATATGTTTGATAATAGTCGTAGTAATATCATCCGTTCTGTGCGAAATCAAAAGATTCACGACGCGCTCCGAGTTTATTAGTTTTTTTATGTTTTACTGTATTTGAATCGGTACTGGATCATATAATTAGTTTGAAATAAACGAGTTTTAAAAAACGAATAGAAGTAGTCAGTTAGTTTATTTCTTAATAAATAAATAAATGCATAAGTTTCGGTACGAAGATCAAATGTCCGTATGGATAATTGACCCCCCCGTGTCCCGCAGTGTCCGGCGAGCAGAAGAACGGTATAACAAGCATCACGTACCGCCGGCCGCTGGCCGCCCGCGAGCCGTCGCGCGACCGCGAGGTGCTGACCGCGCGGTCGCAGTCCGTGATCGCCGCGTTCGGCCCGCTCAACTCCCGCCTCGAGGCTAACGCGCACTCCTTTATGGATACCACTAGAACAGACGTCCAACTCGATTTCGGTGCAATGGTGAGTGTCCATATTTCACTCTCCACTTATTCTTAACTATTGACGAAAGTAACCGATTTGCGGATACTCTTGCTTGGCTTATTTTAATTCGTTTAGAAAGCAATTTTATTAGGTATATATATTAACCATCAACTATTGATATCTCTTTACTTAATTTTCTCGCTAATTTTATGAAATACCTACTTCAATTTATCGTGTATGTAACTAAAAATTTAACATAGGACACATGAGACGAATTTCGTATAGGTATTCGTCGCTTTCATGACAGTACCGCGTAAGTTAATTTTAACAAATTTTCATTCATTATTATCATTATCAGCCCTACTACGTCCCCACTGCGGAGGATCAGGCCTTCCTTATGGATGATTAAGGTGGAGGAATAATTAAATATTCAGTAGATGAAGATAATTACAAAATCATGTAAAGAACATACTTACGAGTGAAGGCTGAAATGTTGTGAATAAAATTAATAGCCTTCGCTTTGTTTTACATTGACTGATCACATGTAGGGGGAGATTAGGACCATTCGTACACTTTTTACTCTATGATTTAAAAAAAATTGATAATCAAATATAAATTATTCAATCACTTATTAAAACATGAAGCATTTTATTAAAAGTTTTAGACTATTTAACTAATTTTAAAAGTTCAAAGTTGATAACCTGTAAAATAAATGAATAGATTTAAATTTACTAAAAACTAAAGAATGTCCGAATCTACCTCTATTACAGGGTAAATCGTACATACATCATCATCACCAGCAGTTTTACGTCCACACTGCAGGGGCTTAGGCCTTCCTTTTGGATGGTTAAGGAGGATGGGCCATGACCCTGCACGCTGGCCCAATGCGGATTGGAGGGTATTAACGACTGCAAATACAACCGGGACCAACGGCTCAACGTGCCTTCCGAAGCACGGAGTAGCTCGAGATAATAATTTTTTGGACACCCATCCCGTGACCGACCCTTGCGAAAGTTGCTTAACGACTAGATCGCGGGCCGCGGCGCTTATCCACTATGCCACCGAGCTACTACCATAAGACCATACGTCATTACACTATAAAAATAATTAAAATATACAAATCTTGCCGTTTCAACATTTGTCAAGAGTCTAATTTTCTTAACAGCAAATGCTGCAGAACTCAGTCTACTTGACAAGTTATCAATATGAGGATCCCATTGCAGTCGGGAATCTTGTGTAATAATACCAAGGAACTTTGTCGATTCCTTCGATTTATGTTTTGTAGTTAATGAATAATAAAATATTTGTTGTTATATTATATACTAATTAACGAGATACTTAAGTATAGACTTAATTCCACGTATGAACTCTATTTTAATATTTTTTCTTCTAAACTTAGTCTGTTACCCTAGGCGGTTAGAACTTCCTTTTGAACAACAATATTTGTGCTCGTATTAGGAAGAACGGCTTTTCCGTCATGATAAATTTCTGCCTCCATAAATGTCCGTAAAAAAATATAATTTTCCTTTAGTGCGTAAGAAAGATCAGACAATTTAACATTAGTTTTATTTTATCTTCATAAAACCGTTTGCAATCAGAATGACAACACGTGCATCGGTCTGTCGACGGTGGAGACGGGCGGGCCGCGCGCGTGGGGCCCGCGCGTCATCTCCGGTGTGACGGAGCTGACCGCGCGCATCGGCCCCGCCGGCGGCCCGCGCGGGTACACGCCGCAGACTGGTACCTACTACGCTATACCTCTTCACTGCCTACAATCATGCTTTGAGACTAACATTTTTATTAAATGCGAAGGCTAATACCTACTCAGATAGGAATGCGGACTGGCGAAGCCCTCGTGTCTGTTCCTGGTCTTTTATTCTGGAACTACTGTGGTAATTTTGAATTATTAAGTGTAACGAATATATGACATATTTGAGAATTTGACATATTTAAGAATATTGCTACCGTTATTGTATAGTGTAAGAGGGCGAGCTCTTATCTACACATCTTTAACTTTTCCACAGGTCACCCCTCCTGGGGCATCGCGTGGTATATCAACGATCAACTGATCCCGGAAATATACGTGGAGCGCGGCCACACTTATACCTTCGTTGTAGAGGGTGGAGATGATAGAACTAACCCCGCCAAGTGAGTAATTTTTCTAATGCATATAGTTTGTCAACGTAAAATAATACTTTAACAAAAATTTTAGCCTACCTTAGACAATCAGGACCTATAATAGTAATAGTATCTCTCTTGACAGATTCCATCCATTTTACATAAGCGACTCGTCGGAAGGAGGGTTCGGACAGAAAAAGGAAGAAGAACAACGCAAACAACGCGTGTTTGCCGGAGTGGCCTATGACACCGAGGGGTACCCGTACCCCACTGCTGGTCAGTCACCAAACATTTCTCCGATTTCTCCGCCACTGGGGTACACGCCTTTCTTATGAAATGAATTGCCCACCATATCAGATGAGTTCAACCAATTTTGTAGCTAGGAGTGGGCGAAGCGTCCCCTCGTGGCAAGCTCGTGAGGTTTTGAGCTCTTCCAAGGCATTTGATTGATTGAGTATGATAATGTAATGACAGTAAAATATACACTCAAATTTATATCGTGAGATAAATTTATATTATATCACATATTATGAAATGTAAATACTCCTATCGTATTACCTGTTCTATGTTACTCTATTCTATGATTTAATTAATTAACTGTTTTACTTTGGTACTCTATTGTAACTTTCATGTTTTTATATACTTACCTGCTACAGTGGGAAGATATTGCGAATGGACACATAAGACTATAGATCAAGCGGCCAATTCGGAGACATTCGAGGCTTATATGAAGACTCTGCAGCTGGAGTGCAACGACGGGGAGCCCGCCATACTCAACTGGACTGTGGCTCACGAGACCCCGGATCTGGTCTATTATCAGGTAGGTATTTGTTTAAGTAATATATAAGAAACTATAATATAACACAGATAAAATGAATATGACCCAACGATATACCTGCTCAAAATATTAACTTTGGAAGCGCGGCAAATGTCGGCTACAGTTCCCGCAACATATCTTGACGCTGTTTTGACGGAGTGCATAGACTCGCAAGTGCATGCGTAATGTTCACGTTCACCCCTATGCACTTGCGAGCAAACAAACCCGATAAAAAAATGTTCTCATTTCCTACCGACGTCGACAGTGCTACACCCACAACAACCTCGGCTGGAAGATCCACGTGGTGGAGCCGGGCACGCGCGTGCCGGCGGGCGGGCTGCAGGCGGGCGGGGGCGGGGGCGGGCGCGGGGGCGGCGGCGGGGCCGCGGGGGCGGTGCTGGCCGCGCTCTCGGCGCTGGCCGCGCTGGCTGCCAGGAGATAGGCGCTGGCCTCTACATCGCGGCCTCCGTACGGTCAACTCGTTGCAGTTTTTGTAGCTCTCTGTTACCCTGACGTCCGCTCTGCGAAAAGTTTGAGAAGATTCGGTACTCGAGAATTCGAAGGAAGTTAGGTCGGTGAGCATCGATCGTCTCTTCCGAGCGTCCGAATCGAGCGCGCGCGTGAGATGTTGCAGTTTTTACTTACACCGTAGTGTATTTGTTGACTTTTATGTATTGTAGTTTGAATGTTAAAATAACCTCAGACTAACGGTTCTACCTTTTAAATATGTATGTTATTAAATATTGTGTATGATAAAAAACCTAACGAAAACAAGAATTTTGAAAAATACACATCTCACGCGTGACGTTAATATGATATAACGAGTTTGAATATAAGCACACCCGGGGAGGCCGCGCGATTCCTTAATTTATGCGTATAAGAAATGGGTAAATTATGTCAATCTATTTACATATTAACGATTTCATATCAATCATTGTAAAGTGTATTTTATGCAAAATAAATTACAATTAAGCTTCGAAGTCGAGTCTATAGATATATCTATGTAACGATTACTGTTTAATTTCTACAGTTACCCCCTTTCTTAGTACGAGTGATATCGTAATTTACTTTTTCAAGATATCACATCAAAAGGAAGAGATTTTTAAGTGATATCGATCCGGTCACGACCTCGAACCATGAGCTTGTAGGAGACTATAGTCTCTTTACAATATATATTTACAATATAATGAGTATGTATTATTATCACTGTTTATTAGTATATATATACGATCTCTTTTTATTCCATGATCATTACCTTAAACCTAAGCTTATTATCATTATGTACTTTTTAGAAATGTTTAAAGAGGTGACAAAGGGGGTATGTAGAGTTAAATAATGTTAGACAATACAATGGAATTGATTCCGAAATGATTGGCTTCGAGTATGTTTATTATTTTTAGCAAATAATTAATAACAATAAATCTTTTGCCACAAATTAATTTTTGACAATAAACTGGCGGCACACCTAGTTTAGTTTAAATTAGTATGTATTTTAGAATATTAATTTTTAAAAGTACAATTTTTTACCTTGTGCTTGACAATAAACTGCAACAAAATAATGGTTTAAAATTGAAACAACAAAGGTTTAAATCAACTTTGTATTGTTTTTAATGTGTTTGATGTGGTAATAAGAATTTATATATTAGTAAAGTAAAAGTGAATAGACATGGATATTAATCTACTTTCTTATTTATATTTACTTGATTAAAATGTTGTATTAAGCGCCTGCTTTGTGGATGAAAATTGAAATTATGACAATAAACATGTATTAATGAAATTTTTGGACTGTTTATATAAGATAGTAATTAAGGCGAGCATAGTATAATATTAAGCGTGAGTAAACTATGACAATAATCTGGTCTATTCGTATTAAAATTATTCTAATCTTTATTTATTTTATACGGCATATTGATGTAATTGGCTTTTGCCAAATATAGAGCAGTAATTATAATAGAATTCCTAGTTTATCTATAAAATAGATATTTTATAAAGTACGACTTTGTAAGAATAAATCATTTCTTAGCCTAGGATATTCAAGTTACCAACAAATTATTTGTTACAGCTTTTTATTTTTAAATAAGTATTCTTAACAATTTGCATAACACTTGCATTGTGGTTTTAACGATTTCGAAAATATGAGTTATGTATTTCGTGTGAACACTAGTGAAAGCAACCATTAGCAACAATAAATAAAACTCATTGAAATGAATATACAAGAAAAATATTTTACAAATAAAAATATAATCACTTGTCATTAAAATCTAGATAAATATGAAATATTACAGAATATGATATCACACAAAGTTGTCCCGATATCGAAGCACGTGCCAACAATTAAGCACAAACAATACAAACATCATAAATTGAAAAAAGTTGTCAATAAGTAACAACAACCAATTTGTGGTGGTTTATTTAACTTAATGTATCTACATTAAGTTAAATAAACATGTAAATCGTACATGAGTGAACACTTAAACAGTGAAAAAGAATGTTTCATCAGTATCCTCCTAGGTTTCCTCATAAAAGAATTAACATTAATATTATTTATATTACCATGTGATTGTTTTTTGTATTTGCAACTCATTTTCCGAAATTTTTTTAAATAAGTAACTTTCGTACTCAATGTGCGATATGAGGTTGGTGTTACCAGTAAGAAAATTAATTTCACTATAGTAGTTTCTTCGTACTGCATTTCCTGGATACTATTATTTTTTTAAATCTCATAAGTGGGCATGGTGTATAAATACAGCATAATGTCTACTTTTAATATAATTTTATGTAATTATTATATCAGTGCTAAATCGCTTATGAGCTTTTCAGTTGTGTGTGCTTTACAACTTAACACTGGAATGTGAGAACTCCGTAACATCAAAATAGTAACCATGTCATAGTTTATAAAATAGTAGTTATATTTAACAAGTTCTATTGTAATAAAATACTATTATTTAAAATGTTATGATGGCTCTAAATTGCAATGTTTGACAATAATAAATAATCAAACTTTTTAAGGAAAGAAATAATTGTACCTACTAATTATGGCTCCAAAATGTAATATTAGGTAAAATACGTTTCTGAAACATTTATAAATTTTAAGTTATATAAATAGTTAAAAAGTTATATTTAGAATAATTCGAACTAATTTTACACTCTGTAGACGTAGTATGTTGATGCACAAATTTATGTTTATTTATAAAAAATTTATTAAAGTTAAAGATAATTATTAAAAAAATATAGGTACTAAGTATGGATGTACTTTGTAGTATACTATGTTCTTATATTAAAAATTATTGAAAACGGTCTAGAGTTATAATGTGTAAAGAGTTTCCATATAATTGTATTGTTTTGTATTAAAATATTTATTTTATTTGTTTAGCTCATAAAAAAAGTAAATAAAGGCGTGTTGTTTAAATACACAGGTAAATAAAGCAAGCGTATTTTGTTTACTTAACTAAAAAGTAGTAAGTAAATTAGTACCTACTTTTTCATATCTTATTTACTTTCTATGAACGGCTGATTATGATAGCAGTCAGCTTTAATAAATTATAATAAATAGCAAACTATTGACGCGCCAAATAGGTATTGTTTATTTGAACAAAGTCCTTTATTATTTATCTACTATCAGATACATAAATACTATAAATTGCTTAACATAACTTTTGATAATAATAATTTTACCTTATCGTTGTATTTAAAATAAAATGCTTAATAGGGATGATGACTGGATAAAAAAATGCAATTCTTTTTAGTCTGTCAGTCAGAGAATAGAAAAATACTAAATACGTATTTTTTTTACTTCAATTTAACAAGAAATAGCTTAGATAACAGGCATCAAAGTTGAGGAGTGGGGGCTCGCTACGTCACAGTTGAGTAGACAACGTACCATAACGTGACGTCATGCGAAATTTCAATTCCATGTATCGCCGTTATTTTATGATTACGAAAAAAATAAAAAAATACGTGTTTAATATTTTTTTACACTCTACCTGACGGACAAACAAACAAAAATTAGTCGTCATCCCTATTGTTGAATTCGAAATCATAGCCAATTATTAATTATAGTAACCTATGAAATAATGAGCAAATCTTGAGATTTTATATCATAATAACCGATTTCGAATTTCAGCCCTACTTGAATGAAAATTATAATATCAGATAGTTGTCTACTACACGCTATACCTCAATTATTTGATGCAAAATCTTTTTTTTTTACACGAGCGCTCTTAAAATATAATAAAAAAAGGAATATACTTATTTCTCTTAAATTTCTACCTAAGAGCGAATTACTTTTTGCACTTTAATACTCGAGTAAAATGTTATATTGAAAAGTACATTCGATTCAGTATCACATAAAATCACTTTCAATCAAATGCAGCGTTCATGGATATAATTATAGAGGATAATGTTATTATTTGTTTGCGTAATTGATTTATAGTATGTTTATTCTTTAGTTTACAAAAGAATATCGTTACTTGAGCTGTTTTGTATATAATTAACTATAACATCGCTCATTAAAGAAATAACGGTAATATTTATTTATAGTTTAGGTGGCCTATTAAACATTATAACATACAAGTTAACGAATGCTAACAAGCTAGTGAATATACTATATAATTTTTCTAGCAGCACTGATCGCCGTAAAAACTCATATTGGGCCACCTAGTTCTAAGACTCAGACTAACAGCTGTGTTGATCGGTAATGTTACTTTTATACTATGAAATACATTGATCATTTAATTTTAACCTGTTTGTGAAATAAAACTATTTATACTACAACAACTCTATTTCAAGTGATAACTTGGAATAAAGATATTTTATGGCATATCACATTTTATTACTACATTAATAAGTAGGTAATGACGAAATATCAAATTATTATGCACAAATTTTCCACTAATCATTATATAAAATCTATATTAATATGCTTTTTATATAATACCTTAACGCATTGTGTACATAATATTAATATAAGGTTACTCGATTTTGTAAAAAACAATAACTGAAACTAATACTTAATCTCAACAATACATTGCTGTTACTTTTGTGTAATTTATAAAAATTTGACAATAAATACCTACATTTTCTTAAAGTTATTTCTGTTTTATTTTTTCCATCGTTTATGATCTCAATATAAATAGACAAAATGTTTACACAGACAAGGAGATGGCCCAGAATTGTCCCATAGTCGTTTCTTATTTGTATGTAAAAAGACACATGAGAACAAGATTATAATTTAGACTTTTGATTTGTTAACATCAAAAAATGAGGCATGATAAGGCACTTTTTCGATGCTTGAAAATACCTACTTAAATTTCAAGATGATTTTGTAATTCGATATTGCAGGATATATAAATAGATCGGGGAAAAAGTTTCTTCGTATTTTATATGAAAATTTTAAACATTTTGTAATAAAGTTTACTTAAATTTAATTAACGTATATAGGTA